CTATAAATTTTCACTTTTCGCGGAGAAACGAAACTTCCTTTGCGAAATTAAAATAAGATTAAAAGCAATAGTTTAATGATTTTCAAAATTAATTAACTGCATTTGAACTTACGATATGAAGAAAAGTTTTTAAATTAAAAACTTTTCTTAGATGTTGAGTTTTTTGCATTTTTTCTAACATAGGTATATAAAGTTCATAGAAATTGAGATATCTCTTAGTTATTGTTTTGGACCAAAAACACAAAAAATAACATATGTCTTCAAGTTTGAAATCAAAAACAAAACCTCGTTTGGGATGTACTGTAACATTCAATAACTTAAAATTTTAAAAACATCAACTCTTGGCATCCCGAAAATTTTTTACATTCCTGAAGCTGCACTTCAATGTTACAACCCTACTCCCCCAAACATGTCCAAGTAATTTCTTTCTATACCTTATTTTCGTTAGATTCCTCATATGTGTATACTAGAGAAGCGCGTTGCTCTCTCCCAGCGCGTCGAAGTTATGAAATCACTGAATGGTCCTGCCTCCCTCGCGCGCCATACGATCTCGTGGATCCCATCTTCTATTCTCCCTGAGGTTTGTGGGCTGTGCTACAGCGCAGACTTACATACACGGCCGATGCACTTGTTTTGCCTTTGTCTTTTTAAAGGGAGTTGAGAAAGAGTCGAGAGAAGACGATCCACTATACATATGTACAGCGGAATGCCAAGTAAGTGTGCGCGTTCGAGGTGTGTTTGCTGCACGGGGTATACGATGGCGCAATGCACTTTTCCCGCGTCGCCGTTTTTTGAGTTATGATTTTCTCGTTACAAGCTTCCGGAACACAAAGGCTTTTTTTTTCGTCATCCTTTTCCTGAAACATTTTTCAATTTACATTCTTGTCTCTTCCGAGTTATATGAGTGTGTTGCGAGGCGACGCGTCAAGGAATTTTGATGAACTATAATAAAAGGAGTGCCGACTGTGTATGACTCTTTTTAAGTTTAAACATGAAAGATGACCTGTGGAGTTAAACTCGTGGTTTAGCTTTCTCGGTGATAGAAATGAGATTTTTTTGATAAACTATTAGAAATTGAGTTTATTTATAGTGGAACAGATCCAAATTCGAAGTTCAAAAAAAAGTATTTGTTCGTGCTTGCATGTGATGATTTACACATGACTGAATTTTCGATAAGTTAGTTAAAAACTATTTAGATATTGGCTGCATCCTTGAACTTTGTTTACTTGATTAATTAAACAGTTTTGATATTACAATGAGACAGTTAAAGGCTCATTAGGATGTTTTATGCACTTATTTTTACAAACTTGTTTTTGCTTGCACATTAAAATCAACAACTAAAAGACAGTCGTTGTTGGTGACGTTTTTAAAAATAAAAATTATTTATTAGATAAAAGTAAAAACCACTTTTTTCAATGTGTTATAAAACATAACAAGAGGCTGTTATAAGGCAGGATTGTTTTCGTGACTTTTTAAAATATTTTTAAAATTATTAAAAACTTTGTAAAAATTTTTAAGTAAATTACTTGACTTTCTAGGATTTGTGCTACATCAGGACTTATATTTTCAAATACGAAAAATAGAGTTTACATAAATATCTGTTTTGAATCGATTGAAGAAAAATATTGAAAAAAAAAAAATTTACTCAAATGATGAGAATTTGTCTAGTGTAACAAGTAATAGTTATATAATTAACCTTTGCATCATTTTTATACCTAGCTACGTTTTAAACTTATAAAACAATATTTTTAACCCAACAAGCTCACAAATTTATTATTTTTACTTCTGATGTAAGCTTCAACAGAAAAAAAAAAAAAATTACCTTTGATATCTTAGCTCACTGATCAAAAATAAAATAAAAAAACCATGCTTATTTCCAT